CATTTTCTTGGGGGGCCGAAATGCACGTAAAACGTCCCCCGTCCTTTTGACGATGATGATAACACGAAAATTTTCATAGCTCTGGAATGATGAGAGACTTTTTTGTAACGGCTTGTCTAGAAATTCATTCGAGAGTTGCCACTGGAATCGTATATATAAATGGGTCGAATCACCGTGCATCACTTCAGCAACGTGTAAAGAACTGTATAGTAGCTTAGTTGCAGTGTCCCATCTAGTTCAAGAGTGAGCTAAAATAGAAGCTGCTACAATCGGAAATGTCAGCAGTCATATATCTCTTAAATTGCATATTTTGTGGAAACTCAACAATAAATTTTTGTCGAAAAAATTTATATGCAAAACGTTCTATGAAACGACTGTTATCTCGTCCGTTTAATTCTATATTTACATTGACCAATTTCATCACTTAAGCCTAGTACTTGAAGAAGCCGACTACCGACTTACTGATTCTGCCAATAAAAATTTTATTCACACTGAATCTTTCTTTGCTGATTAATCAGAGTTGTAACTTATGTTTAACTGAGGGTGGAGCTGTAATGAGAAATTACTGTCATAGCTACGAGGATCGAGAAGATCATAAAGGGATTGAATGCACTAAGGGGAATAGCGATAGAGAATGGACTACTCGGCGAAATACATTACGTGATTAACTAGGCGAATCTTGAACTATGGCTGCATTACTTCATTAAGAATCCTCCACTCGGAATCGTTCTTGAAGTGCTCAGCCTTCTGTTCTTATCCGAGCACTTAGGCTCTGTGAAAGAATTCTAGGTTAAATATTCGTTTGTCGTGGCCCATCATTCGAAAAGAAAAGACAAATAATCGAAGTTATCGTTGCATGTACAAATTTTCACTAGAGAAAAGTGCTGTACTCACCAGAAAAGCGTTGTCTCAATTCCAAATGGATGACGTGTTTATTTTTTGTAGGATCAAATTTAATACTGAGGACACGAAAAGAAACACCGGGTGTAATAAGTTCCTCTTCTTCTGCTGAATATTGAGAAAGTGAACTAAGATCAGCAATAAAAGCGAATTCGACTTCCATAATGAATAAAGTATTTCCAAATTCTTCTGCTTTGCCTCGATTTCGACTACATGATGTATACGCTTGAAATGATCCATAATCCTTATCATCTTCGGCCATTTTTGCATAAACATCGATCTGTTCTTTAGTTAGAGTGGCTCCGCGATAAAGTGTCTTTTTGGTTGTCAATTTTGTATTAAATGGGTCATCCCATAGTAATAAACAGAATGGACCCATTGTACGAATTTTGCTTCGCCATACTTGTTCATGTTCTTTATCTCCAACTAATCTCATTGCTGCATTCAATGTTTTGTAGAGGAAACTTTCCAATGAGTAAAGATAAACACAAAGTTTCCATACTTCCTCCATACCAGCGTTCTTCTTTTCTCTTAGCATTTTAGCTAATTCTTCGGCTTCTCGTGGTTTTCCAACGTGTTTTCCTTCTTCAACGATACCGCAAGCAGCTTTTTCGACAAGCATTGGAATCATGCTTGGTTTTTTCGAAGGTAAATCATCTGGCTCGAGTTTCAAGTCTCGCCTGACTTCTATTACAAATGGGGATACCCAACCATATTCACCACCAAATGAACGTCCGTAACTAACAGGAAGATCCATAAAACGTGCTTCTCGTAGGTGTTTATCTTCTGTTTTACTTACTACTCGTTTTATCGGTCTTTGCTTGCGATCATCAGTGTTCGATATTTGAAGATTACTTTTGAAATCAATAAAATAATCATCCAGTTGAGCTCGTGGTTTTTTATCTTGAAATGCTTCTTCGATAATTAAGTTTTCTAAATCTGAGTAATGACTCCATGTAGCCGGTTCACGCTTTGAAAATGGATGTGGATTTGATTGCCACATCCATTCAACAGTTTTTAAAGAATTATTCAATGTTGGAGGTGCATACGAAGCCATAATAGTTATTTACTTGTATGCTGTTTTTAGATGGTACAAATAGGATAATAAAAAACTTTTTTATGTTATCTGAAAGTCGAATAACAAATAATAATAGTAAAATTATAAATGAGTTCAATTCTGAAGTCTCATTGAATCTTGAAGTTTGGTAAAATTCATTCAAGTCTCATAAATATGAATTATTCTGAAATTTTTTGTAAAACTGTTGATAATTTCAAATAATTTTAAACCCGTTGAAGCTTTAATATTTGCTATTTCTAATTCGTATAAAAAAATATTTAACTTCGTCTCTATTTCTTAGTCATTTTTTTCATTTGATATTGATATATACAAATAAGATTATAATTGCTTGCAAAAGTTTTGAAAATTATAAAACTTCAGCAACACTTAGCGAAATCAGCATTATTTTAATTTTCTTTTTCAACTTGGAAGTTCTCTCAAAATAAAGTGACTAATATTTTTCGACAGAATAACACAAAATTTAGCAATACAAATTAATTGGAATACACAAACTAATATTTAGAGAAATTTTTAATATCATCGATGAAAAATTTCTATAAAATTCTCTCTTTTTTGTGTACTCAAAAAGTGAGTACACTCTAGAATCGGTCAGTGTGTCCGGCCGTCCGGCCGGCCGGCCGGCCGTCCGTTAACACGATAACTTTTGAA